GGAGGGACTTGACCGCAAAAATGTATGTCAGCTACGTTTCCAGTCCGATACATTCAAGGATGGCTGCCGGGCCAGTGGTTTTAGAGGCCGTGCTTCAGGGGGCCAGTGGTTTTAGAGGCCGTGCTGCAGGAGGAGGGACTTGACCGCAAAAATGTATGTCAGCTACGTTTCCAGTCTGATACATTCAAGGTGCCTTGGCAGTAACAAACAAGAAGCGTGATGATCAATGAACAAAGCCCGTTTTCACCCAAATTACTATAAAAAAAAAAAAAAAAAAAAAAAAACGCACATCCATAACAAAAATGTATGTCAGCTACGTTTCCAGTCTGATACATTCAAGACGGGGGTGTGTTGTATTCGAGTAATGAAGGTAGTCCCCTTTTTTTCACAGCTAACCCCCTCGTTACCTCCTCCCATCAGCCCCCCCCTTCCTTTTTCCCCACAGGCCCGTCGGATATCCGATCCCAACATTGTCATCCGGAGAGAGAGAGAGAGAGAGAGAGAGAGAGAGAGAGAGAATTGATTTCCCGAAAGAATGCATCTGGCCGTATTCACGGCCCCATTCAGAGTCTGGTCGCTACAATTGGACTGCGTCCGTGTTTAATTTTGTCCGCTGCCGTACCCAGAAAACTGGGAGGCCGATGGAAACAACATGCCTTGGCATCAGATGGGATCCCGACGGGAGAAGACGAGAGCGCAACCCACCCTGACCGTGAATGTATGTAAGCTGCTTATCTGACGTGATACAGTCAAGAAGAAGGTGAATGTATATAAGTTACTTATCTGACCCGATACAGTCAAGAAGAGTGCGTTGATGATATATAAGCTACTTAAATATGTCCTTGGTCTCCACCCGAATACAACGCACCCTGGTCGCGAATGTATATAAGCTACTTATCTGACCTGATACATTCAAGAAGACGGTGCGTTGTATTCGGGGTGACAAGGGCAGCCTTTACAGCTGCTGCCGTTTGTCACCTGTGGGAGGTTAAAGTGCGATGATGATACCCCTCCTCTAGCAAGGGCGTCCCTCATGCAAAAAACTAATAAAAAAAGGAAAAAAAGAAAAGAGAAAAAAAAAAAAAAAAAATTGCACACTCTGCCTGCTTTTTTTTTTTTTTTTTTTGCAAATCGTGCTTTTCTGGGAAGCAATTTTACTTTATTTTATTTTACTTTTACAAAAAAATAAATCACTGGTCTTTCTTTTGCAAATTATATTTTTTGGGGGGAAGCAATTCAACAAACGGAGGCATTAAATTTAAAAAAAAAAAAACAAAAAAAAAAACACGGAAGCATGCAAGGGAACTCGACAGGAACAACCAAAATGCAAAACACAACAAAGCCAAAAAAAATTAAAAAAAATTCTACATAAATGCGGCAGAGCAACTGGGGATGCGGATCACCTAGAGAGGCAGGCATAAGAGCATAGGGCCTCGCTCCGTTGAATAACTCTAGAAGACATGTATGTGGACAGCAAGAGGACCATGTACATTTGGAGTGATCTGACATTTCGAATGAATCGGACCGTTGATAGGCTCCAGGTGCATGTATGAGTGTTCTATAGGGGAGCGAGGCCCACGAGAGCCAAGATACCTCTTCCCCCCCCCCCTCAGATGCGGAACCCAAAAAAAAAAAAAA